CGGAGCGCAGCGCAGCCCGCGGTAGCCCAGCGAGGTCGGGGGTGCGGAGCGAAGCCCCCCCATCGTGCTGCTCTGTTCCACCACCCTCCCCAGACGGGGCCAGGGACACCCCTCTAACCCCCCCCCTCCAGCTCCCTCTTCCCTGCCTGGAGCTGGGGCTTACACCTGCATGGCACCCACGTCGCAAACAGGGCACCTCACAGCTCAGCTCCGGAGCCGGGTAGGAAAAAAACCTGGTGGATAAAAGTTTTCCTTGTGCCAGCTTCACCCTCGTGTATGCCAGAGAGGAGCAGCGAAACACCGTTATCTTTTCCAGGGGACTAACCTCTGGGGTGCCGATACCTTTAGAGCTGCCTCTTCTCGGTCTTCCTTCGGGCCAAGGGAATCCCGATTCCTCAGGAGGAATAAGGGGGTTTGCATGGCAAAACCCTACAGCACGAGATGGAAGAGCCCGTGTACTAGAGGAAATGGGAGATTTTGGGAGGGCAGAGCAACCAGTGTCACAGGAGAGATGCTTAAGGGGGGATCTTTGTCCCAGGCCCCACAAGGGGAAAGGCCTGGATGAACAGGAGAGACCTGGGAAGCGGCGCAGGCAGGTAAGGAAGGGGTAAGCCCAAAGCTCAGGGGTAGGAGGGATCCTGGGGTCGAACTGGCTGGAAGCGTGTGGGAGGGGGAAGTGCCTTGTGCCGGGTCTCCGCTTGCTTTTCCCCCACCTCCAGACACCTTGGGCTCAGTGGGGCGGAGGGAAGACACGTACTGGCAGTGTGAATCATATTCAAATATTTAAGCACTAAACTCTGTTGTTCTGCAGTCCCAGGTGGGTTTCGCAGTGTTACCGTTTCAGGTTTGAGCCAGGTGTGAAAACCAAGTTGTTGGCACGTACAACACACACAGCAAAACCCACAGACTGGTAGATGCAACCACTGTCCCCGTTCTCCTGGAGCTGCGGGAGACACTGGGCACCTCCTTCCCCCGCACAGATGCCAGAACAGGAATCTGGGAGCTCTGGGCTTTAGGATATTATTTGGGAAAAGGCAGGGGATGCTTTAGCTCATCACTTGCCCCGCACACAGCGAACACCACCAGCTATGCCCAGGGGAGAGCCAGTGCCTCCGACTGCCTCAGTCCTGGGAGAGCCCTGATGGGGCTTGGGCTGACCAGGCAGCTGAGAGCCAGGCTCTGTCCTGCCTCCCACAAACCTCTGCAGCATTTCAAAATAAGCGCAATGGTTGGGCCTCTCTGAAGTTTGCCTTGTGGGCTTTTTCTGTTTGTTTTTTTTGAGCCAGGAGAGTTCACATTCCCAAGCTTTTCCCTGCAGCCAGTACAGCGGGGTTTATTTTTTTTTTTTAAATAAAAAAGAAGAAAGCAGAGCTCCGCATGTAACCTCAGCTTCCCTGAGCAGGGCATCAGCCCCAGGCACTGAACAGGCAGTTTAGAGGAGGCTGAAGGAGCTGGCAGCTCTAGGGGCTGGGGGGGTTCTGAAGCCCCATTTCTTCCTTTCCATGCCAAAATCTCAGTCACAGCCACATCTCTAACCACAGCAACATCTGTTGGAGAGAGTCTATTTTATAAAGCTGCTGCCTTTCTTACTTGAAAGCAAAAAGCATGAGGGAAAGAAAAAACTACCAAGCGGAGCCATTTTCATCATCTCAACCAGCTAATGCAGACACCGATGGGGCAGCACCCCCCAAACACCAACAGTTTAAGAAAATAGAGGAAAACCAGGGAAATGAGGTATTTGCGTCCCAGCAGCCTACCGGCAAAAAGTGGGGGCTGCTGGTCTCGAACAATCCAGGCAACTCCTTTGCAAGTCATAAGCACAGAAATGAGAGCAACCACATCTTACCTGAACTTCTCCAGCCCTCCAGGATTTAAGCACCAGCTTGGCTCCGCAGGCAAGAGGCACCCAGCTGAGCACAGGCAGGGTGCAAAGAAAGCATGTCATACCGCTAGCCTGCTTTGGGGGAAAGCTGGGATGGAGGAGGTTTGGGTGAACACCAAGCTTTGTAACAACCTGCTACTCCAGGAAGGAAAACTGAGCAGGACTGCTTTGCAAGCCCCAGCTCTGCTGAATTTAAAGGATCAGCACAAACAATGCGCACCTGGAAAAGAGCTTCCTCTGCAGGGCAGGTGAGTCCAGAGGAAAGGGATGTCTCTTTAGGAGTCCCAGGGCACTCCAGGCTCTGCAGCGGGGTTTAGCAAAGCGCTTTGCAGCTGGGGAGCCATCCTGCTGGGGCTGGACCCAGCTGCTACCCAGCTGCATCTGCTGCTCCTGAAGGAAGGATGTATCAGAGCACAATGATTTGTTTTTATTGGGAATATTTGCTTCCTGCCACCAGGATGCATGTGCAGCAGCAGAGAAATGTACAGGGGTTCGAGACCTTGTGCACCATGTGAGGCAGAAAAGGCTTATGAAGAGGGATATGTATTACCCAGACATCTGTTGAGGCTGTGTAAATGAGAAGTGGCAGAGCAAACT